GGAGTAACAAAGAGTGTTGCTGGCCATTTCGGGGTTACCTAAGGACTTGAGGATAAGGAAAGCGAGGGGAAAGGACTAGGCCTCCAGTAACCTGGCTATCAGTTACGCAAACAATAAAAACTGTTTTACACTTTTTGAAGAAGTTGCTATTGAAGGATCAATGCAGTTTCAATTGAGTAAAATACAGATTAGGTGTTAATAATCCGAACAGTTCGATTGCTCAATACAAAGTGAGTTCCGCCATTTGAAATACATTATAATGTTACTTTTGATGTCGGTAGACAGAAAAAGTAAAAAGCAAAAACAAAATAGAATCATTAATCATAAACGATGTTACCAGCATTCGACTTAATAATAATATAAAGCTATCAATATAATCAAGCTTACACTATTAAATTGATCAAGGGACGATCTTGATCAAGGGACGTTCTTCGGCCACCGTAAGCACGGGCTGCGATTGGCTAGTAAGAGCAGCTCGCCGCCCGATCAGAACCAGGCCCGAGCGTACGGCGCGTAGTGTTCCGCGCGCGCCTCAAAGAGCCAATAGACCACCCACCACAGACGGGGCCCTGAAGGGCTGATGTTCAGCCGGGGTTGCGGGGTAAGCGCAATGAGGCACCGCGACCTCGGCTCAGAGCAGGAGAAGGAACAGGGGGGCTTTTAGTCAGTAAGAGTCCGACACTCCCTCCCGCACTGCCCTGGGCGGGAGAAGTCATTTGATGATTTTCCCTCACAAAAAAAAAACCCTATTAAATTCATTTCTTTAATATGAAGCACAATTGCATTGTTGAACAAATAATGGTTCCAGAAACATTTAAAAACTTTTTGAACCTCGAGAGATACCGCGCATAGGCATTACATTAATTACACAGTTTTGTTGATATTAGATAATATCGCTTATCACTTACATACTTAACTAATTTTGCCATTCTAAAATTTAAATTTAAAAACAAGCCTTGAATTCTATCTTTTTTATGGCTGTGAAGGATCAAAATATATTTTTTTATTATTATACTAAATAATAAATAAATGTAAACGTGAAAATTATGCATTTTTTACGAAGGTACTTTGGCGTTGCAAAAGTACTCGGGTAGGTGCTTATTAACTCACTTAATATGACCAAAATTCTGTGTAAAAACAAATAAACATTCACTTACATGCACGAATATATTAATTAAGTATCATGAAGATTTTATCTTAATTATAATAATCTTCACAAGCAAAACATCAATACCTATTTATTTTTAAAGCTGTCAAAAATACGAAAACCAGGCTCCGTGAATAAAGCGCGCCATTCTTATTTTTTTTCTGGAGAAAGGCAATGGAATCGTCGCATACAGCCTGGTCTGTCATGTTTTATTTAAACAGATTACATTGGAATGCTGATGTGACACGTATTTGGGAACTTTTTGGTCGAATCACTAGCACTTTGCGGGGAATAAGTTTGTTTTTCATCGAATTGTTCGCGGCGAATGTATTTTAACTATTCTTTTTTTACTTCTCTTTGTATTTCTTTGATCGTATAACGTAGTCTTGTAATATGATCTTCACGTCGTGGTACTATGGTATTTTTGTTTTATTCAGCTAATCTTTTCTTCTCCTTGGTTAGATTCTACGTGGAATTGCTGTAATCTGGTTACGCATATCGTGGTGGCCCGAAGGCCAACGAATTCAACGCTTTCTGACAGAAAGAAGTATAAGGCCTGACAACAAACTCAGTGAATGAAAAGATTAGAAAGAAATTCGAAATGTACGCATTCATTTATCTATGATGTCATATGTAAGCAATGAGGGATGGTCCAAGTATGCAAGGCGTGAATCATCATAAAACAATGATTTAATTTTCCTAAATAAACACAAGATTATTTCAATAAACCACGTAATCGCGGAAACTTCCCACTATTTTACATAAATGTATACACCACATAATAATTTATTACTTAAATATACAAATTACTACACTAATACAGGACACGATTCTTACAGGTAATCGTGTCCTGTATTTATATTGTTGGATTAACGATTCAAGAAGTTGAAGTTTTACTCATGATATTGAAACTCATTGGATTTTTCCGCAGGCTCTTTTTTGTTGAAGAAAATTAATTACCCTCTAAAAATCCTGACGATGCTTTCTGTAAGTCTTCTCCCCCTGGGTAGGGCGAGACGAAGTGTCATAGTCTTACTGGCTAGAAACCACCCCAGTGGGGTGTGTGTGTGTGTGTGAACTTATGTTGTTAGACGCGTACCAACATTGGAAAATTATGCTTTGGTTTTTGTGAGCGGAAAATCATCAAATGACTTTTCCCGCCCAGGGTCGATCGGGAGTGTCAGACTCGTACTGACTAAAATACCCCCGTTTTTTCTCCTGCTCTGGGCCGAAGCCACGGTGCCTCATTGCGCTTGTCCCGCAACTCCAGCTGAACGTCAGCCCTTTTGGGCCTCGTCTGTGGTGTTCTATTGGCTTATAGAAACGCGTGCGGAACGCTACGGGCCGTACGCTCGATTCTGGTTTTAGTAGGGCGGCGTGCTATCCTTACTCGCCGTCCGCAGGCCCGCGCTTACGGTGACCGGACATCGTTTCCGGATCCCCGACGCCCGAAGTGTCGCTGGAGCGTCAACAGGATCTGATATTAGATATTACGTAGTGTAAAATTTATTTAAAGACGTTGGTATTAAATGTTTATTTTAACGAAATATCCTCCATTCACGGCCTACCTTACTGGAGAATTTGGATGGCGCAAATTCTTTGATATTCTTCAATTGTAGACTGACTCAATTTTATGCCCCTATGACCCTGAACCTTAGGTTAAAAACTCCATACATAAACCTCTCTTAAGACAATACATTTTCCTTAACCAACTTCTTCCGCATACATGAATCGACGAACGAGTTTACGAATATTTAGTGATTCCATACAACATGTCCGCCTTACAAACTCAAGTAGGTAATGCAATTAATGTTATGTTTCTTTGTTACAAAAATGGATTAAACATTTCCTCATAGTTTTTGGGTGTTTGCTTTTTATGTGATAGGTCGGCAAACGAGCAAACGGATTACCTGACGGTAAATTAGCGCCGCCCATGGCCCATGGACTCTCGCAACAACAGAGGAGTAACGAACGCGTTGCCGACCTTTTGGGGATTAGGGATTGCAGAGGAATTTGGGGGGAGAAGGATTACACCTCCGGTAACCTCACTCACACGGCGAAACACAACGCAGTGTTTGTTTCACGCCGGTTTTCTGTGAGGCCGTGGTATCACTCCGGTCGAGCCGACCCATTCGTGCCGAAGCATGGCTCTCCCACACTTATGTTTTCTCGTTCCCTTGCTGCTGTGGCGGGGGCTCGAGGAGATTATCTCCCTCTCGCTTTCCGCCTCCTACTTTCCGATCACTACTTCGCAGAAAGGGCTGACAACTTCCCAGTCCCTCTGCTAAGACCGGACGCGAAAGGTCACAGCCGCCTATAACAGCCAGAGGACACGGTAGTGCTAAACCCAAGCATACCAACCGCTACTGTATGCTCCACCGTATCCTCTGGATGGTCCTCACGATGACGACACCCGGGTATTTCCTCCCGCTGGATCCGAAACAGGAACCTACCGAAACTGCTGTGCCTGGTAAGCACCTGCGTCAAGCGGAAGGTGAGGACGCCGTGGCATCCCCCAAGCCAATCCTCAAAGAAGGGCCAGCGGTAAGACCGCTGCTATAACAACATAATTATCCGATATATCTGTCTAATATATCTGCCAGATGTATACATACATAGATATAGAAACATTGTTTTCTGTTTAAGGAAAATGGCTACTTACTTAGTTACCGTAACATAAGTATTTAGTTTGATACGTGACTCATTTGAGCAACTAACTGCCTATTTCTTACGTTAAATAGTATTCTTTGACCTGATAACCATGAAGTTGATAGCGAACGTGAAGGTTGTGGGTTGAATAAACTTTTAGGATTACTTTTTTACGTGATAGTTCGGCAAACTAGCAGACGGATTACCTGATGGTGAGCAATCAGCGCCGCCCATGGACACCCTCAACAACGGAATTACGAGTACATTGCTGGCCTTTTGGTGATTATGATTTCGGAGATTTAGGGATAGGGGGAGTTAGCCAGCAGCTGTCTCTGGGGCTGCGGTAACAATTCGCTCGAGTCAGCCCATGGAAGGTAAGCGCTTTGACCAATTTTGCCCATTCAATTTTTGTTGTGCTTGTTAGTCGGTTAAGATTCTTATGAAAAAAAAAGGAAAATCGGGAAGTAGCGAGAACACCCGAGCAAAGCAGAGACAGGCCGCTAGTCGAGTATAAAGTAATATTATAAAGACGTAAAATTTGTAAGTTTGTATGGAGGGGGTAGTCTTTGGAACTGCTGGTCGGATACCCAAAATTCTTTCACTTATTGATAACTACAATGTTTCCGAGTGCTATATAACATTATGTTACAACCAAATAGAGCCGAGCCGCGAGTGAAACGGCGCGGGAGTAGCTAGTAAATAATAAAAATAAACATTATCCGTTCTCAAATGTCGCATTAAGTTTTAAAAAAAAAAAGCCCGTCAAGTAAACCACACGATAACCCGTCTGATATCGTTAATAAGATAAAAATAACAATGGCATTTTTTATTCCGTAATAACGAACTACATAGAATGTTAATGGTCACTTTAAATGCTGTTATATTCTCTGGACTGTTAACATGAGGTTAATAAAACAATAAACAGTTTTAATCTCATTGTTATTCTTTACTACGGATAAATAAATTGCACTGATATTTTAGCTGCACCAACTTTTTTTATGACAATCAAATAAGTATTTATGTTAACCCTATAAAGGACGACTATCGTTTGACATATTACAACCAATAATTTAAAAAATAATAAAAAAGTCTTTGTAACGGTAAACAAAACACAATCTTATCATTTTTGCTACAAAGTTTAAATTGTATTATCTAAAAAGTCTAGTTTACGTAACCTCTGCGATAATTTAAATAGAAGAAAAGTAAACTCTATAACAAAATGAATAGAGTCGTAATTATGTCTGTCTGAGCGCCAACAGATAACAATTCACACAAACAGAAGTGGCTCAACTCATTCAACATTCAATGTTAATTTTGTTTTCAATCTCGGTCGGTGCGCTTGTGCATAAAAAATGGCGGATAAAATTGCTGTTGTTACGGGTGCAAGCAAAGGATTCGGATTCGCAATTGTAAAAGGATTGTGCCAAAAATTTAATGGTGTTGTTTACTTAACTGCAAGAAATGAGAAAAATGGACTAGACGCTGTGAAAAAACTAAACGACCTTGGCCTTAAACCACAATTCCATCAACTTGATGTCAGCGATGAGAAAAGTGTACAGACATTCGCTAGTTACATCAAAAATAAACATGGCGGCCTGGATGTACTGGTTAATAACGCAGCAATATTGGAATGGGATGAAGTTTATCCATCTTATGAAGCGGCGAAACGAAACATCGATATAAACTACAAAAGTTTATTAACCCTAGAAAAGTATGTTTATCCTTTGCTAAGAGATGGCGCTAGGGTCGTTAATATTTCGAGTGCTTGCGGTCATTTATCGAATTTAAAGAAACAATCCTGGATTCGTATGCTCCAAGACCCGGATTTGACTACGGAACAAATTAATCAGTTTGTTGATGAATACTTGGAAAGCGTGAAGAATGGAACATTCAACAAAAATGATTTCGCTGATGAGGGAAAGCATGCAGAACATAGGGTGTCTAAAATTGCACTCACAGCTTTGACAATGGTCCAGCAAAGGAAATACGAGGATAGGAACATTTCCATAAATGCTGTTCACCCCGGACACATGAAGACTGAAATGGCTCAAGGTGGTGGAGAAACAGAACCTGACCAATCGGCTGAACTCGTACTTTATTTAATTTTGGATGCTTCACCGAAGTTGAGAGGCACTTTCATGTGGCACGATAGACGTCTGATTGACTGGTGCGATGCTGAAAGTGATTTTGCTTGTAAAGATCTTTGGTAATATATTTAAAATAATTTGTTTTTATATCTTTCCCTTTGAATCTTCAATAAATTCACTTTAATACGAATTGGACGTTTAACTGCTAACATTTTTAAATTTTTGAATCACACGTTTTCACAGTGTGTGTGTATTCCATAAGATTCCAATTGTAGAAATAAAAACATCGAAGATGTTTTTCCGACCGCTAGATGTCACTGTATTCAAAAAGGCTACAATTTTTTTTTAAACCATTTGCACCCGTAGTTACCCAAAAGTTAGACAATACTTTAGTGCCTCATACATATATTTTTAAAATAGTAAAATTTTTATTGGGTCGTTTGACTATTTATCAAACATTGTATTTCTTGCGTGGTATAACGAAACGCAGTTGACAGGACAGCTGAGTCGATCGAATTTGACATAAGGAGCATATGTCAGTCAACAGTTTGACAATTCGCAATTCGACCGCGGAATTCCGTTTGTGGGTGTGAATATTGAATTAACATTTCAAATAAATCGAAAATTTATTACGAAAAACGGGCTATAAAAGAAAATAGTGAATTAAATCATATTTTTAGCGACAAAAGACAGTGACTTCCATTTACCGATAGACCATTCTGTTGGGTAAGTAATTTTCTTGATTTTTCATAAGAAATAAATATTAGCAAAATGCATTCGGTGGAAGAGGAAAGGAATACAATATTATGACATAATTTACGTCAGATGAGAAGTAAACTTGCTGCATCTGTATAATACTAGTGTTAATGTTTTTAAGATGTGACAATACATAAAAGGCCGACGTTTCTGTACTAAAATAGATATTTTGACGCCTTGACCTAGCTCGTGCCATTACTATTCCTAATGCAGTATTGTAGAATCAGTTAAATCTTTTTTTCAAAAAGTGAACAGACTATAATATTTTTGTTCTTTAGGCAGTGTTTATTTTTTTTAATGATGTTAAGGAATCAGTGATTGAAAACTCTTTTTTTCGAATTTAAATATGGAATGCGGAATTGGGACCTTGGCATATTGTGTGTTGTGGTGTTTTTAGTGTACTATGAAGGTTGAATTTTGTTAGGACTTTTTTTTAATAGTTGATGAATTTGTCATATTGATTTCAGCTATGTTAATCTGCTGGTTGAACTAACCAGCCAGGTTTGATGTAAAGTATGTAACCTTGAGTTTATGATAATGAATTCTGTTTTAGACACACAAGGTAAACTTGTTTGCTGATAAAACAAGTAAATCTGACATTTGGTGATTGATGACTTGTATTTTTAATTGACAATTTACATTGGCCTAAACGGGAAAAATCATAAATAGACTGGAAAGCAAAAACCTTATTACATAATACTGTTTAACAAAAATAAAATATTAGATTCTCAAAGAAATGTTAAGTATTTCGCATTTTCTCATTTTGAATCTGGGTCATGGTTACTAACAATAGAAATCTAGCCTGCTAAATATTTTGTATTTCAATTAGCTACATTTTAAAATAGTCTTTAACTTGCTAAGTTTAAGGCTGAGAATCCCAGTGTTTTATAGTTAATTGGCTAATTATCTGTAGTTAACACTAAAATTCTAAAAGTAGTCAACAAAAATACTGCAATGCAGTCCATGTTTAATAAATCAAATACAATAATTTAAGGAATAAAAATAAGTCCATCAATAGATAGGCTGTATGACCTAAATTACCTTTGCCATTAGAGGAAGTTGAATTTCGAAAATGGCTGCCTGTTGCCAAATGTTTAGGTTTTCTCTCAGCTACACAATGAAGTAATTTATTATTTCACAATTTATTACTTATGATGTGAAAATATTTTTTTTATATTTTATATTACCTAAGTACCTACAACAATAAGGTACGGTACGGTACCTAATGCAATTTACATATTTCTTTTATTTGTGGGAAATGTTTGTAACTCAAAGATATATATTTTTATTTGTAATAAATTATTATAAATGAATAGGCAAAATAGCAATATTTTGCTAAAAAATTTAAAAGTACCTAGTCATTTCGTCTTTGTTATTAATCAGGCAATAACTGTATTAATAATTGGATAGAAACAAAATAGCCAAATGTACAAATTTTACACTTACCTAATTAAATATAGTTAGGTATTTACATATTTCATTCAATTATCAAATTTCTTAAAGGGTCTTTAAACTTAACTCTTAAATACCTATAATATTTTATCATATTCAGTCCAGCAGTTTAGAAGTTCACTGACATAATTTTTTTTTGTTATCACTCATCCGTTTTATCCGACACGGAAATGATTCATCTGCCAATTAGGAATGTTTGTATTTAAGAAGATAATTTATTAAATGAGTTGCCTTATTTACTGTTATCTTTTTATATCTTTTGTTACTAACGCTAGTTTTTGAAGTAGGTATTATACTTAAATTTTTATGACAGTTAAGGTATAACAGCGTTAACATTTTAGCAGTAACATAGAATCAAATTCACAAGTATGACTGTAAATATAATTTAATATTCGTTTAAGGGCTGATTTTTCAATGGTTAGATAAAAGTTATCTGCGGAATAATTATGATGCTGTCGCGTCAGAATGTTTGTATAAGACAATGTAATGCTGAGTTATGACGTCATAGTATTTAGCGTCAAATAGCTTACTTATTTCTTTAAAAATTATAAGTTAGTAAATATCTAAAATTTAGTGTATCGATGTATTGATTGATCGATGAATAAAAGTGTAGATATTTTTCCATATTTTATTATACTGAAACATCGAATTAATTTATTTTTGACCTAAGAAACTACCCAATTTTATTCCTCAGTTAACATTTATATGAGTATTGAAAAATCAGCCCTAAATTATGTTTTAAAACAGTCTATGTGTTATTTCCACACCATAATTTCAGATCCATTCAATAGGTTTTACTTGAAAGAGTAACATAGGACCATTATATTATTAAGTTACGTGTATCTTATACTTATTAGTAGCATAGTCTGATTTGTATTAGGTTGCTCAGAATATTATTAATTTTATTTTCGGTTATTAAAATTCTTAGCTTAGTTAATAGTTATATTAGGGGCTGATTTTTCAATAGTCAGATAAATGTTACCTGAGGAATAAAATTGTTGCTGTTGCTGTCTTATACAAACATTCTGACGCGACAGCATCATAATTATTCCGCAGATAACTTATATCTAACCATTGAAAAATCAGCCCTTAATTTAATAGTCACTAAAATACACGAACAACACTACAAATGAACTGAAAACACATTCTTAATGTCCCAACTGAAAAACCCAAAACCATCAAAGGGTCCCAATGACAGAAAGACTTTGGGATACGTGCCAAAAAGCCATTATGAGACTGTTATAACGACAATACCAATCATAGTAAAATTAGTATAATTAATTAAAAAATTGTGATAAAAAATATGTACTAAGTTTAAAAAAGTGTCTTAATATAGTTGGTTAATTTATAGACCAAAAAATTAGTTTTTAAAACATTTAAAATGATTATAATAGTGCGTTCAGTACGTGCGATGGCGTCATTCGCGGCGCAGGCAGCTCTGCGATCTAGATGGAGTTCTCTTATTGAGTCTACTAGCGTCGATGTACCCGGAGAAGTGACTGATGGCGTCCGTTCTGTCGTCGGATGGTTAAAGCAGGCACGGAATTCACGTTAAACATCAATGCTGCTTTGCGTTTGCGCAGATTTATGATGAAGGATGATCTATGATAGACTCTATCGGCCTTTACAAAACATGGCTTTTCTTTAGTCTAGGTCCAAACCATTGAGCCTGTTTTTGTATTCCAAATTGAAGGTAGGTGGGAATAAGATTCAAAATACAAAAGCTAACTCAATGATTTAAATCTAGAAAAAAGATACATTTTGTTTTGTAACAGAAAGGCTGATTTGAACTTTATCTCTATTGAAATGTGATTGATAAATGCTTAACTTTCAAATTTTACCTTTACAGATCTATCGTGAATCATTCTCTAAAGGAATTTTCGTGCACAAGGTTATAGTTGGAGATTAATAAACTAATATATGCACCCGTGTCCAAAATATTCATTTCATACTCAAATACTAAGGTTTTTGGCGACTTTGGTGCCAAAACTTACCCATAAGTTAGTGCGAGATGTTTATTAAGCTCCAGCGAATGGCTATTTCTTTAAATAGCAACAACCTTTTGTTTTTCTGCACTTTTTGAGCCACCCTTTATGTCAAGAATGCGCAAACGCTGGTCTGCTCCGAGCATCCAAAGCGGCAAAGATGTTAAACTTAATTTTATATCAATGTTGGCATGGTTACCGTTTGTCTGGCCTCATTCTCAGAGTTCTCTATCGGAATATTTTATTTTAATGTTTTCGATGTTTTTTTTAACTCATTTTGAAAGAAAAAATGTAAGTTTTCTCGTGATTGTTACTTTTTGTTATGTCCAATTAATTATCACGGTTCTTTATCTTTATATTTGAGTGCTACAATTATATATACTATATATTAGCTTAAACACATAAAGAGTTAAAGATTGAAATAGGACATCCATTTTCAAGTCATATAAATTTCATTTCTTTTCCTACATCGCCATTTAGTTTTAGAGGACATAATTGGCTTCATAGAAATTAAAAAACCGCTTTTTAAAGCTGTATTTTTGGTCTATAATTTCGCAAAAAAACAACACTCGCTCTGCTTCTTAATGATTAGTCGAAAATATTCATAATTACAGCCTAAGGTAGCGTATGCTTGTTTCGCAAAGTTTTTTTGTAAGCAACGCTGTCTGAATACATTGATTGATTGTCCAATGAGCTAGAAAAAGTGTCTCCAACACCCACGTATTAAATGTACGTACAGGAATTTGATAAGTTCAACGACCGGGCGAAAAAGTCGCTCCTATCGATACGTTTAGGAAAGCTACATTTTATCAAATACTAGCTTCTGCGAGCGATTTCACCTGATTGATCAAAGAAGTAGCCTGTGTCACTCTGCAGGTCTGACTAACTATCTCCAGACACAAATGCACTAAAACACTTCATTGTGGCATGATAGAAAGACAAATCTATAGTATCTATAGCGATAGAAAAGATTTGTAACAAATGCAACACCCATACGCCAAAATCGACAGTGGCGCCTAACGTGAGTAACGATAGAGTTGAACTGAAAAACGAATACCTCGAGGACACGAATATATTGCCTTGGATCCTTAAAATGCCCTAAATATATCTGAAAATGTCTTTGAAGATCTATGAAAGGAAATTCGAAGTTCCAATCGTTTGTAAAACATCTGTTTCCACTGGTCTCTGGTTTTCGCTGTGGTTTGATCCGCTTTCTATTTGATTAATGCCGTAGTTTTTTTTTATCGGCGTAATCCAAATATTACCGAAAAGGGACAAAGTATTCAATTATAACTACGTAACTACTAAACGTATTCCTATCTTTCTCTCCTTGAAAGACTTCTAATAGTAATACCCTGACCATACTCGGGTATCGCAAACTTTTATAACTTTCAAGTACCGGGTAACCGGCTGTCAAGTGGACAAAAAGATTCCCAAGTCCTTCAAAGAAGAAGATACTTTTCCTTTTATGGTTATAGCCTTTTTTATACGGATCTTAACATGTTTTGCTCCAATGTGCAGCGCTTCAAACTG